AGGCAAGGAACCAGGCTATTGTCCCCATTGCTATTTAACATTGTAATGGAAGTTCTAGCTATTGCAATTTGGGAAGAAAAGGCGATTAAGGGTATCCATATAGGAACAGAAGAGATTAAACTTTCACTTTTCACAGATGATATGATTGTATATCTGGAAAACACCAGGGTTTCAACTAAAAAAATCTTAGAAGTGATCAAGGAATACAGTGGTATATCAGGATACAAAACCAACACTCATAAATCTGTAGCCTTTACATATACCAACAGCAGCCAAGCTGAAAAAACTGTCAAGGACTCTATTCCGTTTAAAGCAGTTCCAAAGAAGATGAAATATTTGGGAGTATACTTAACAAAGGATGTGAAAGATCTCTATAAAGAGAACTATGAAACTCTAAGAAAAGAAACAGCTGAAAATGTTAACAAATGGAAAAATATACCATGCTCATGGCTAGGAAGAATCAACATTGTTAAAATGTCCATATTACCCAAAGCAATATATAATTTTAATGCAGTCCCCATTAAAGCCTCACTGTCATACTTTAAAGATCTTGAGAAAAGAATACTTCACTTTATATGGAATCATAAAAAAACTTGAACAGCCAAGACATTACTCAGGAATAAAAAAGCAGGAGGAATCATGCTACCAGACCTCAGACTATACTATAAATTGATAGTGCTTAAAACAGCATGGTATTAACACAAAAACAGAGAGGTAGATGTATGGAACAGAATAGAAAGCCAACAGATGAATCCAGCTGCCTACCATTACATCATCTTTGACAAACCAATTAAAAACATTGAATGGGGAAAAGATTCCCTATTTAACAAATGGTGCTGGGCTAACTGGCTGGCAACATGTAGAAGACTGAAACTGGATCCACATCTTTCACCATTAACTAAGATAGATTATCACTGGATTAAGGACTTAAACTTAGGACATAAAACCATAAAAATACTAGAAGAAGGTGCAGGGAAAACACTTGAAGAAATCAGCCTGGGTGAATTTTTTATGAGATGGACCCCACGGGCAATTGAAGCAACATCAAAAATATACTATTGGGACCTGATCAAACTAAAGTGCTTCTGCACAGCCACGAACACAGTAATTAAAGGATGCAGACAGCCCTTAGAGTGGGAGAAAATATTTGCAGG